GCCCACTTGATATAATACCTACAAAATTTTTACTGAAAGTAATAGATTCTGTTGGGCCCCATTTCATCTCTGTTTTCAACAGCTCCCTATCTACTGGTTGTGTCCCTGATTATTTTAAAACGGCTTGCGTGAACCCACTTTTAAAGAAACCTGGTTTAGATCCCTCCCTCCCACATAATTTTAGACCAATTTCAAAACTGCCTTTTATTGCAAAGATTCTAGAAAGAATTGTGTCCAAACAGCTGCTCACTGTACTGGAAAATAACAAAATATATGAAAAGTTTCAATCTGGTTTCAGGAAGTACCACAGCACTGAGACTGCCCTGCTTAAAGTCACCAATGACCTTTTAATGTCTGCTGATGAAGGCATGTGCTCAGTCCTGGTACTCCTGGACCTTAGCGCTGCTTTTGACACCATTGATCACAACATCATGTTAGACAGACTGAGGCACTAGGTGGGGATCTCTGGTACTGCTCTAGAATGGTTTTCATCCTACCTGTCAAATAGGAAGTTTTGCGTGTCTGTAAACAACTATGTCTCCTCATTCTGTCCAGTTAAATATGGTGTGCCTCAGGGGTCGGTCCCATTTTGTTTTCCTTGTATCTGCTTCCCCTTGGACATATTATCCATAAACATGGCATTTCTTTTCATATTTATGCTGATGACACACAAATATACTTGCCCGTCAGATCCACAGACCCTGGAATGCTGAGTTCACTTAACAACTGCCTTTGTGAAGTTAAAAAATGGATGTCCAATAATTTCCTCCAGCTGAACTCAGACAAAACAGAAATCCTGGTCATCGGGTCTCAGCAGATGGCAAATCAAATACTGCCATCTGCTGGTTCCCTAGTAAATCACATTAAGCCTGTGGCAAAGAACCTTGGTGTTTGGTTTGATAGTAATTTAAATTTCGAGCAGCACACCACAAAGCTTGTTCAATCATGTTTTTATCAACTTAGAAATATAGCTAAAATTCGATCTATGTTAACTTTTAAGGACACGAGACCATTTTACACGCCTTCATCTCATCACGCCTGGATTATTGCAACAGCCTTTTCACCTGTTTAACCCAAAAATCTATTGATCGACTCCAGACTGTCCAGAACTCAGCTGCCAGGCTTTCTCCAGAACAAAGAAATATGACCACATTACTCCTATTTTAGCTTCATTACACTGGCTCCCAGTATGTTTTAGAATTGACTTTAAAATTCTATTGATCACTTTTAAAGCTCTTCATGGCCTCTCGCCTTGTTATATTTCTGACCTTTTAGTCCCATACGCACCAGCACGTACCTTGAGATCCTCGGGCAGAGGTCTGTTGTCTGTTCCAGAGTCTCGACTGAAAACTAAAGGGGACAGAGCGTTTGCTGTCAGGGCCCCGAGGCTCTGGGACAGCCTGCCCGAGGAAATCAGGTCGGCTGAGTCAGTGAACTCTTTTAAGTCCCTTCTTAAAACATACTTTTATAGGAGAGCCTCTCCCGATCTTATTTGACTTTATTTTATCCCTTTTATTTTATTGTATTTTACTAATTTTATATAAAATTTTCATGCTCTTATCTTTTTTTTTTTTGTATTATTCTTTATACTTGTTAAAGCACTTTGTAACTTGTTTTTGAAAAGTGCTCTACAAATAAGGATTATTATTATTATGATGAAGTGCCTCTATTATGGAACCAGTTTGCCAATTTGGGTTTTGAGTTTCAGAGTTCTCTCCTAGGGTGACAAGCAGGCTTTGCATGCACAGCACACCACCAGTCACAATATTGTTCGTGATCAGTTTATCAAACAGCCAAAATAGGCCCCGCCACCATTAGTTGTTGACAACAACTTCAAAATAATGAAGGAACAGGAGAAAACCACTGATGGTGTCACGATCGTGGTGTGGAGGCAGGTTGGAGGACCCAAACGCAGGACACAGAGCAGAGCAGGTATAGTTCAACGAAGGGTTTTAATATAACCAAAAGGGAGCACACTTACAGGTGAGTGGCTGAATAACAGAAATCCAAAAGTACAGGGAGACAAGACAAGCAAGGCTGGTTACAGGCAGTCAGAGAGTACACGCACGACAGACTGGGGAGTAACATGAACAATGACCAGACAAAGACAAGACAGAAACACCAGGTATATATACACAGGGAGCAACACAGGTGACAGACATGAGACTAACGAGGCAGAGAGAGAGAGCAGAGGAAAACAGAGAGACTTGACATGACAAGCAGACCTGGGGCAGAGTGAATAAGCGAGAACACAGAAATAGAACACAGTACAGAGCTTAACAGAGAACACAAGACCCGGAGTAAACACTAAAGACATGAACTAACGTACAAGACCAAGAACATGACATGGAATCAAAGACCAACTAAATAACAGATAATGAACTGACCACACAATAACTCAGAGGAACTCAAAACACAACAGACTACATAGCAGATACTGGACACCAGACAGGACAGAACCCAAAACTCAACATACTAAGGCAGATACCAAACCCAAAAGTGCAACACAAAGGATGGACAAAACCGGCAGAGCGTGACAGATGGATGACCACACAGTGGATTTGATTGCAAAAAGAAATCATAGCTCAAGAAAGCATAGTCTGCACTCAAAAAAAGTACTCATATTCAAAAAGACAATTTTCAGCTTATTTATTTTAATTTTCTATACATTTTCCCAAACCAACACACAAAAATTCTAGGATGCTTGAAATTCCTGTATTTTTTCATATTGCAATATATATCGCAGAAAAGATAATTGTTGCAATATCAGTTTTTTCCAATATCGTGTAGCCCTAATTGGGAGCATGTTTTTTGGTGATTTTGCACTTTAAATGAAACTTGATTGATTGATTGATCTGTGAGGAGGGACTTTGGTGACTACCAGAAGTAAACAAGCATAGTACACCGACTGTGCCTGATGTTCAGCTCAGGTGGTAATGGCCAGGCCAAACCCATATCAGTCCAGGAACCGTCTCAGGGGCGGCCTGTCACTAAGGTGATGTGGTGCTTGGTGCTGTGGTACTGGGACATTACTATTAATACGGTCCGCACATATCGGTAGAGGTGTCCTATTGGGTGGCTGTGTTTTCACTGGGTGAGAGTGTGTGTTTGTGAGTAGAGGAGGTTTTACCCAAAGAGTCCAGTAGAGGGCTCCACCTGAACTTATAGAACATTGACCTTACTGTTTATGTTGCTGAATGTAGGGTTTTAAAAAGGATTATTCTGATTAATAGCAGGTGGTTGGCCCGAGGATGATTCAGATGACGTCAGAGTCGATCTGCACATCACACCCATTTAACTCATGAATTGACGAGTGCAAAACAGCTGCTGATGTCAAATGAAGCTGTAATATCATCAAACGCATCCTCATTTCATGTTGTCATACAGTAATAATAGTATTTAGTCTGCAAATGTCATTCCATACGAATAATCATGTGACGACAGGTGCAATTGGGGCTGTAGGCTACATTTAAGATCAATTTTACTTTTATTATTTCTTACTGTGATGATGAAACTCTCACCTCAGGAAATGATCTCCTGTTACAGACAAAAGGCACACAGCCAAAAAGAAAGCCTGGGAGTTAACTATACTGAATTTCTGTGTAGCGCATGATTTTGTAACCTGTGGCTGTTGCTTCTTTGAACAGATGCTATAATGTGTTTTGCAACCTCAAGATTTTTCTTTCTACATGTCATAATGTTGACAACTGACATGCTCATCTGACATATCAACGGGCGGTATGCTGTAACAATGGACATGTGCCATGCATCATATTTAAATGACTTTGCTTTAAAATGACATCTCCAAAGCAAGGATGTCTTGTTTCAGTAAATGCCTGTTGCCTCAACTATGTTTGGATACCATGCCAAATGACTTAAGAAATCACCGTGTTATTCATACGCCTTTTGATGATACCAGGCTTCTTCTCTCCTCGCGTCTCTTCCTCAACTTCTCCGCTTGCTCCTCGGGCTGGAGGGACTAAGACGTGAGGCGAGGAGGTGAGGAAAGGAGGAAAGGAGGAAAGGAGGAAAGGAGGAAAGGAATTGAGTAGGTACATGAAAAGGCCTTCAGTCTTAGGGTGTTTATTAATAATTAAACAGAGGGAAAATATCAGCTCAATCAGGAGAGATTTAATTGAAAAGAGGCTTAAAGAGTA